GAATTGCCGTTGGACGTGCCAGTGGAGATGCTGAGTTTGCCTTAGCCATTGGAGGTGCGAGTGAGTCGGCACCGCGAGAACCCGTGCCGTACTTACTCCAGTACTCATCGTAATGCTGCTTGATCATGTCTGCATCGGTCGGAATGCCGTTGTCCGCAAGTGCTGCATCAGTTTGTTTCTTGGCGGTCTTGGCGGTCTTGGCGGTCTTGGCGGTCTTGGCCTTGCCGCATCCCTGGCTGACAGCGGCCCGCTTCGGGGTCATTGTGCGGTGAATGTCTTAAGAGCACAACTCCTCAACAGTTTGAGCCTGAAGGGCTACTTACTCACCCAGACGTCGTCCCCGCCATGCGTTTGGGGTCGCCACCTCCAGCGGTCCATGACCACAGGACGGGACGACACACGCGACCAAGGAAACGGAAAGAGTGCGCAGCATGGTTCTAATCACGCTGAACCATGTTGGGATAGGAGGAGGAGGAGGAGGAGGAGGAGGAACAGGATGTCCTTACAGGTTCTAGGCTAGCTCAGGGCAGGCGCGTGGCTCCTGCATGGGCTCGACGACAGCTCTTGTTCGGATGATCGTTGCGATCGATGACGATGACGATGGAGCTTTACTTCCGATACCACCTTCCCCAAGGCAGCGCAAGGCATCCTGCGCTCTTGAAAGCTGGTCTGCATGGGGCTACTTTGCCACGTGCATCGCTAGCTGCTCGGCCATCGTCGTGGCTGGAGGCGCCCCCATGGTCAGTGTTGGCGCTGGCTTCTTCGAGCCATGCGAGGTCGTGTCGACTGCGGCTGTCGGCCGCTTCCTGGACACCGCGGCACGCGGCTCCGCGCTAGGCGTGATTGGCGTGCGCAGCGTGCTAGCCTGGCTGGCCCCCAAGCTGGCCTCACATGCCGAAGGTCTCTTATTTGCAGCCTGCCCGCCCTTGCCCCCCCTGATCTTCTGGACGCCAGCTTCTGCCAGCAATTCATCACGACGACTCTGCAGATCCGATCGCCGAACGCGTCCGTAAGCAAAGTCCTTGGCGAGAGTGGTCATCAGTTTCTCGGCTTTGGCCCGAGACTCAGGGCTGTCCTCGTCCCCGAACCATTTCATCGCGACTTGCATCCTCTGCTGACCCTGCTCGTTCACCACCAAGAGCAAGCCCCTGTCTTTCTTGTATCTCACGTCGACGCGGCGGTGCGACACGACGTGCTTTGCCGTGAACACTGGAGGCTGACCAGTAGTTGCCCCCCCCCCCCCACTCTTCCCCTGCAGGCTTTTGAAATACTCGTAGGTAACGCAAGTGATCTCCTTCGTCGTGCCGTCCGCCCACTTCGCATGGATGGTGTTGTCATCGTCCTTGGCCCATGTCTCCATTGCCGTATCTCTGTGCTGCTTGGTGTCGTTGATCTTGATCCTGTAGGCGATGTTCAAGTCCTTGTCGAAGTGGAAGGAGTATTGTTGTTCCCCTCCTGCCGTCGCGCCAGCTGGGCGTCTCGCGGCTGCTGGCCTCTTGAGGACGGGCTTCTCAGTCTGGTAAGTGCCGTCCGTGCCGCCCTCGCCGTAGTCATCACCGTCCTCGGTTGACTTGTCTTCTCCTTCCTCTTCTTCTTCTTCTTCAGCTTCGTCTTCCTCTTCCTCCTCGTCCTCGTCCTCGCCCTCCTCGCTGCCGTCGGCGTTCTCGCCACCATCTCCTGGTGCCCCTGGAACAGGCATCGCTGCAATCACTTGTTGGTGCTTTTTTTTTGCTTGAGTTTTTTTTTTTTTTGTTTTATATTTTTTTTTTTTTTTGCTTCTTTTTGTTCTCTTTTTTTTTTTTTTTTTCTTTTTTCTTTTTTTGTCTTTTTTTTTTGTTTTTTTTTTTGTGCCCGTTTTTGTGCAATCACATCGTCCTCTCCTGCGGCGTCAGCTGCGTCTTGATACCACGGTAACTCTTGGACCCATGCTGGCGGACTATCTTTCGACGAGCCTTGGGCAACGTGCCGACATGCGTTTGCGATGCGATTCGTCATCGCCTCGACCCAGGAATCCTTGAACTTCATGTGCAGCGCCCACTGCTGCGCCTTTTCAGTAAAGACCTGCTTGAACGCATCCTTCAGCGTTGACTTTTTGAATAACAGACGGTTGTCCAATTTGTACAGGTCGTGCAGGAGAGGGTGCATTTTCTTGATCAGGTCCGTACGTAGTTTACTGGCTTGGACTTGTTTGCTCTCATCGTACTTGATGAAATTCTTGTGCAGCGCATGCCGCAGCAACACTCCAGCTACTTCACCTGCTGATTTTGCGGAGCGAGGGCGATCGGGCATACGTTCGGAAAGAAACAATCCTCAAACCATCTGGCAGATGATCTTTGAGCCCAAATGGCTACGGGTGGTGGCTATGCTTTATGATTTTCCGTGTGGTGATGATGACAACGATGTTTTGTGGCGGCGACGGTTACGACGAAGGCTTCGCTGTGCTAGGCCAGATGAGGCCTGTTAGCTTACCCCAAACAGTTCAGCCGTGCGACGCGCGGAGACATTTAGGCCTAGGAGTCCAGGCGTAGGATCCCGAGCTGCAATCGCTGTAGGCCACAGGGGCCCACGCAGATGAGTCCACTCATTAGAGCCCAAGCAAGAAAGGCCGAACCCGACAGACATGTCCAGTTCGCTAGAACACATTTTAATTTCTTAGTGCATCCACTGTTTGAGGAACGTCTGAATTTATATTCCCTCGAAGCCACCCGAATATCCTCTGCCATCTCGCCAATTCTAGGCACATGAGGACGCTAGCATGTAAGGCAGCACGCCGAATGAACACGAATCGAAACCACGCCGCCTTGTCGGGAAGTTTGTTCTAAATAGCTGCGCCCGACACCCGACCCCCCTGCGTGGATGGACAGCGCCGAAAGGAGGGTGGGATGGTATGGAAGGGGAGTTGGCAGAGTCTTTTTTTCGAGCTGGAACAACCGACTGGGCTCATTCGTTTTGGAATCCCCCCTCCCCCCACCCCCTCTGCTGCAGGGACACGATCGGGGTCGCCTACCACTGGGCCTCATAGAGGCCAACTGAAGACGCCAGACGTCGAAAAGAGCGGGGGGGCTGCGGAAGCTGGGGCTCGCGGCGCCTATAAGGCGATCGCTTAGTATCGAAGCTGTTTCCAATGGGAAACCATACAACACGTAAACCCCTCAAGAAAAACACCAGGCACGATGAGATGGAGACACTTGTGACGCTTTGGAATGATTAATTTAGGAGTTGTAACACGTTTTAGGAATCAACGGACGAATCCTATTTTTAGGAGGCGGTGGACCACAGGGGCCTCTTTCGTCGGCGGCGAGTTGGCCTGCGTCGACGCGCCCCTGGCCCTCATCCTCTGCGTGCGGGTCATCCCCCACACTTTCTTCAACTTTGCCCTCTCCGCCATCGTGGTGCTGCGCTCCTCCTCCTCCTCCTCCTCCTCCTCCTCCTCCTCCTCCTCCTCCTCCTCCTCCTCCTCCTCCTCCTCCTCCCCCTCCCCCCCATCGGGTCGCCCCTGCAGCCCTAGGGGAAGCCGTGCAGCACCGCCCTGCCGCGTCCGCGGGCGAAGCCTCCTGCTCGAGTCTCGCGCGAGGGCGCTGCTCGGCCGGAGCCGCTTCTCGTCGGGTCCTGCGCCCGCCCAGCTTGAAGTCGGGCCTGTTCCTCTTCGGGGGGACTATGCATATGTAGTAAAATAGTAGGTGGACAACGTTTTGAGTATTTTTGGTTATCTTTTTGAATATTTTTGGGGCATTTTTTATTAGTCGTCCGAAATCCCCCCGCGTGGGGGACGCGCCCGACTTAAGCCCAGCTGCGGGCCCCCGGTCGTGCTGACCCGCGGGTGTTCTGCTCAAGTGTTGAGGCGGGGCTGTCCCTCCACAGGAGGAGTCTTCACACATGGTTCAAGAATGGTCCGGGGACGATGCGTGGATTCAGTTTGCCGATTTGGGGGGTATGTTTCTGTGCCTCTTTTTTTCATAGTTATGGGGGGCGATGTGTGAGCTCTGTTTGTCTATCTTGGGGCGTGCGTCTATTTTTTTTCTCAAAAACTGTCACCCGAGATCCGCTGGTAGGGGGACTTGCCCGACCTCGCCCAAGTGGGTCGTGGCCACCCCGTAAAGTCAGGCGGGCCCAGGATGAGGATCGGCCCCCCCAGAACGCTGTGGGCCGACCGTGGTGCCTGGTGCGTCTCCCAGACCTGCCGGCTCTCGCGTAAAAGATTCCCGGTGTTTCACTCAATCAGTGGCGAAGCGTCCGGGTTCGCGTATAGCCATACCGATCAATGTTCTAAAGACCGTTTGTGGTTTCGACGAAATGTTATCATAACATTTCTGGCGGAGTGTGTCTTGTTAACACATCATGTTTACGTTATCAGAGGATTGCTTCTGTTATCAAAAGATTTCAGGGTTCGAAGAACATGTCGTGGTAGGACTATAAGAATGCCAGGACGGTCGGCCCCTGCTCCAATACAGGTTCTCCGAGAGCCAAACGCTATCAGTTGAAAAGGATCGTAGCCTAAACACCTCATGTGATCGGTGACCGAACACGTTGTGTGACCGAAATTGTGGCAGGAGCTGGAAATCGTGATGGTTTCAAGCCAAGTGTTTTCGGTTACATTCGGGCACACTTTTGGGGCATAGTTTCGGCCACGACACCCCCCTGATAGAGACGAGGCTGCAAATCCCGATGCCCTGTTCGTCCCGCAAGTTGCGGTCTTTCACTGTGTCCAGTGCGGACTCGACATGGATTCGACGCATATTCGACTCGTTCGACCTGGTTTCGATTCGGACAGCGGCGCGCTGGGCAAGGCAAGGGCTCCTGCAGATGCAACGTAATCGGAGTAGGAAGGAGAAACACCAACATCACCAAAAGAGGGGGTCCCTTCCCAAAAGGAAGAGCAGACGGTGAGGAGGAGGAAAAGGAGGGGGGGGAGGGCAAGGAGGAGGAGGACAAGGAGGAGGAGGAGGGGGAGGACAAGGAGGAGGAGGAGGAGGAGGAGGAGGAGGCTGGGACACCCGCAGGACCGCGTCTTCGAGCCCCGCGACGCGGGAGGGTCTCTGCCCTTCGTGGAGGCCAGGCTGCGGAAGGCCTTTGGCGTGCTCGCGGACACCCTGGCCAACCAGGCGTTTGCCTTTGCGGACACCAGCATGTCCTCCCTCTGCCGCCGCCACGTCGACGAGGCTCAGTATCGTTTAACCGATCCATCCCCATCCACACCTCGAGCCCCACCTTCTCACCACCTCAATTGGGGATAATGCCCCCTCGAAGCCCGAAGAGAGCAGCCTGGTATCCCCATCAGGGGGGTGCATCGGCCATATGGGCCCAGCCCGCGCTGGTCGGAGGCGGAGGCGGAGGCGGAGGCGGAGGCGGAGGCTCAGGAGGAGGAGGAGGAGGAGGAGGAGGAGGAGGAGGAGGAGGAGGGGATCGGTGAAACGATGCTCAGAGGCCATGTGCAGCATGGACTTCAGCCCCGAGCAGCGCCGGGCCCTCGAGGCGCGCCATGCGGAGCACCAGGCGGTCGCGAGCCAGGTTGAGGCCCGCTTCACTGCGGTGCGCCACTGCCTCTCCACGCTCCGCGCCCTGCGCTAGCTGCCCCCGCGCCCCATGGGCTCTGCCTCCGCAGCGGCTTGCCCTCTGAGGGCGGCGGGGGCCCTGGGCAGCCCGCGCATCGCCGCGGGGGGACGGGGCCTCGGGCGGAGCGGGCCCCGAGCTCGAGTGCGTCCCCAGACGTGATCGCGTCGTGAAAGAATCCGGACGGGAGGTTTTTGGTCAAGTTCGGCCTCGGGGGGCCCTCGCCGGGCCCCGGGACCGTCAGAAAACGACTCGGGATGGAAAGCCGGCCCTGGGGAAAGGGTCTGGACTTCCGAGGACGCCGTCCTACAAGAATCAGGACGTTGCATGTCTGGGTCGGTGGGTGGCCTTCCCAGCGCCCCCCAGGGGCGGGCGGAAGCTGGCCCAGGAAGAGGCGCTGGTCCCGTGGAGGAGGCCTGGGCTCCGGGGCCCGCTTCCCAGAGGGGGCCCGTGCCCCGTCGTGCCAAGCCTCTGTCATCGGTTCCAGGGTGGAGGGGCGAGGCAGCCCTGCATCCGAATTCGGTCATCTGTTTGACGGGGCATGCGGAGGCATGCGGCCCGAGCATGTCCGCGGACGGCACGGGCGGGACCAGGCAACCATCATCGTGATCACTCGTGCCACGGTTCCGAAGCGCACAGAGCTTCGACGCCCAGAATTGGTGCTTTGGGGGGTGAGACCGAAGTGAAGCGGAGTCGCCCGAATGTGAGGCCCAAGTGGGGGATGTGACCGAAGTGCACCGAAGACCGTCGAGCAAGGGCCCAGGACAGAGCAGGGGTGCAGCTGGCACGAGGGTTAAAGCAGTCCTGATTTGGGAGAGCTTCCTCCCACCCTGGAATACTTGTCGTCTGGGATATCGCAAACGTGCCATGGCCCCCGGGCGAGGAAGCCCATCATCTTGGCCCGTGTTCTCGCGGCCATATAATTCGCCCTTGTAGTCCAGGCAGGGAAAAGCACCCTGGCCCTGGGCATTTACTAAGCAACCCTGCCCTGCTCGATGCCTTCCCTGGCTGCGTTCACTAAATGGTTTCGCTTTCCGGGGTGCTCGTTATGATGTGTTGGGAATGCTCTTGTCGCCACGGCTGGATTCGCTTCGAAATCCTCGTCAGAAGGCGGCCCGGGCAAGGTCTGGGGAGTAGCCGTATGGGTACCATTTGGCTTCCCCAACTGTGGTGCAGGGTTGGTCGTCACAGGAGGGAGGAGGGGCCGATGGGAGGGGTGGGCAAGGGAGGGGTGGGGACAGCGAGGAGGAGAGAGGGTCGGAGGAGCCGGGAGGGAGGAGGGGGTATGCAGGTGGAAGGAGGGAAGACGGGGAGGTGGGAGAAGGGAGGAGGTGCAGGCGCGCCGAGAGTGTCGGGCCGCCCGTTGCGGCTGGATTTCTGTCTGGGCATCCTGTCTATGTTGTTTCTCTCTCTCTCTCTCTCTCTTTCTCTCCATTTGTTGCGCACTCTCGTTCTTTTTTTTTTTTTTTTTCTCTCTCTCTCTCTCTCTCGTTCACTCACGCCTTCTCATTCATCATCACCCTCTCTCTACTATATGTATGTGTAAATGTATATATATATATATAAATATATTTATATATATATTATCGCCGTCACAATGATACGTACTTGCGTTTTCGAGCCTGCAACTCGCGCCTGGCCCTTCGCCCAGGCAGGCGCGACGCGCAGTGGACCCCCGAGCTGGAGGGCGAGCTCCGTCGCTTCTTGGATTCGGCTGCGGAGGTGCGCCGCCTCTCTTCGCGGGCTTGGAAAGCTCTGTGCGCAGCGGAGGGCTCCCTTTGCCCTCCTGCGTCCCCCACCTCCCCTTCCGCCGTGTGCTCCTGAAGTCCGCGGGGGGAGGGAGTCGGCAGCATCGTGGGAGCAGCAGACGGGGGCCATAGCCGCAGCGGCCGCAGGAGGAAACGGAAGCGGGAGGAACAATGAGTGCGCGAAGGAACAGACTTGCTACCCAGCGAATGCACGAATCATTCGTTCAGTCTTGTCTGCGGCAGTCGAGCAGCCTACCCTGTGCCAAACAGCATCCTCGTGCCCGTCGCATTTTGGACGGGCCATTGCGAGCCCCACAAGCACATCTAGCATCTCTGCACCAGCGCGCTGCGGAAAAGCGCGAGGAATGAGGAGAGGAGGGCGGAGAGGGGAGTGAAGGCGGCAGCGAACATCAGGGTGCGGCTGAGCATCGTGCCTCTCTGTTCGGCTCGGACCCGCGGACTCACACCGACGGCCATACGCGTTCTGTCATGCTGTGTTGGCCCGAGGACTGCGAGGGAAGTTTGTTGTGACCAGTGTGGCAACGTACCATCTATCTGAGCACAGTCTCGTTCAATGTCTTCTTGTTATGTTACCAACTCCGGTAAGCAGACCCCCCTTCTCAACTCGTATTATCATTTTTATGTGCATCCGCATTATAATCATTTAAGTCTGCATCTGTATCATGAGTATCCACTTCTCAGTATGTTTGTTATTATCATTCGTTTTCGTAGTCGTATGGTTGTCCCCTCTTATTCGTACTATTGATGTTTTCTTCAGTTACAGGTATTTCCTCCGTTGCCTTCACCCTTGTTCTCCCAAGCTCCCATCTTCCCTGACTCGGCGGGGAAGGTGGTGCTCGATCAATGGGCCCTTCAGGACCCCAGTTCCCCTCCCCCCAGAAAGTGAGTGTGCGTTTGCAGCGTAAGTACATGTAAGCAAGCCGCTCGATAGCCGCACCCATCGGGGAAGCGCACGTGGGCATGTTCACCTTGCTCCTTCTGCTGACCCTGGCTGTCCTTCTTCTTCTTCATCATCATCATCTTCTTCATCTTCGTCTTCATCATGATCATCATCATCAGCATCAGTGTCATCGTCATCATCAGCATCAGCATTGTCATCGTCAACATCGTCATCATCACCAGCAGCATCATCATCACTATCATCAGCAACATCATCCTCATCTTCATCCTCATCCTCACCCTCCCCCCGTCCTCCTCCCACTCCTTCTCCGCCTCCTCCTCCGTCTCCTCGTCTTTTTCCTCTTCCTCTTCCTCCTCCTCCTCCTCCTCCTCCTCCTCCTCCTCCTCCCCCCCTCCTCCTCCTCCTTCTCATCCTAGTCGTCGTTGGATCTCAGACACTTTGAGCCCCGACGGAGGGAGGATTTTCATTGACACTCCTCACTCGCACGACTTATGGACTCTGACAGCCACACAGGTTGCTCTGCCCGGGCCAGGGGAGGAGAAGGAGAACAACTAACATAACAATATCTGCAGCCCTTCCTGTACCGTACCTCTTTGCGACCTTTCCCAAAGTGGCGGGGTCGTGAACCAGTGATGGATTTTTCTCGTGCCGCGTCTTTCCAATGTTTGGAAGATTGCGACTTGGAAAAACGACGAGCCAAAGACGCAGAGAACGGACCCGCCGCACCCACGCGCGGAAATGCCAGCTTGCCAGGATTGCAAGTTGTGAACATATGGTTGCTCAAGTTCAGGGAACGGACATCGAGGTGAACTGCAGCAAGGCACACGAAAGGAGAGGGCATGCGGCAGCGGGGGAGTTTGTAGAGCTTGCTCGGTTTCCTCCCCCCCTGCGTCCTGTGGTGCTCAGGGGGAAGAGCTGCCGGGGGAGTTCGCAGAGCCGCCTCAGCTCCCTCATCTCCTGCGCCCACGCGGGCCCAGGAGCAGCCCGTCCCAACTACTAGTGGATCTTCCAAATTGGAAACGCTGTCGAAGGAGATCGTAGATCAGTTCCGCCAGTGGATTCCGATTGGCCCTTTTTCGCATTCATTCGTTCGACGCCGAGCAACACTGAAGGCAAGGCGGGACAGCCGCCGCCACCTGCCCCCCCTGAAGGGGGCCGCTGCGCTCGAGTCGCTTCGGGAGGCGCCGAGTCGAAGCACTGCGGCGCCAGAAGCGCAGAGAGAGCCTCGTGGCCGCGGAGCAGACGAAAGCGGGCAAAAAAAAGGAAAGATGGAGGCCCCGAGGTTCGGAGGTCATTGGCTTCTGCCGATGATGGACCTCGAAAGCCCAAGACATCCCGCGGTGAGACGGACGAGAAGGAGGTTTGGAAAGATGGAGGCCAGCCCAAGTATCTGGAAATGCTGTCCCAGGATATCGACTCGCTTGTTCGCCGGACAGCGAAGGGGGTCTAGGAAGACGGAGGCGCCGTTGTTCAGAGGCCACCGACTGGTGCCGATGACGAATTTCGAAAACCCATGTTTCTCAATGGCGACCCCGAGATCGCAACGCTTATGGGATTCTTCAGATTCACAGCGACACGCGAAGAAATCGCGAAGGGCGTGTTGCAAACACTGCGCACGGAAGGGGGGGTGTCTAATGGAGAATTTGTTGAAGTATTATAGTTGTTACTTCACAAAGGGATTGTGCAGGTGCGGGGGAGGTGGAGAAGGAGTAGGGAACTGAGGCAACCGGGCCGGCAAACTTTTCCAACGGGGGCCGCCCCTGGCCTCCTTAGCGGTTAAAGACAATTAATTGTTGAAGGGTTTGTCATCGAAGAGCGGACACGGAAGCGCAGCGGGCGAATGTTGGACGGCATGTGTGGCATCATGTGGAACAATATTGGCCGTCAGTTTTCTACGGAGGAATTTCGGCACGAAGTGGCTTCGAGCGGCGCACTTGGCCCTTTGCCAGAGCTGGAGCTCGATCTTTCGGAAAGGGGAAGTGTTGGAGTTCTTGCCAGAATGGAGGACAAGTGCACGATGGGGGGGCCGCGCGCACTAGCGAAGGCATCTCGGAGCGCAGGCCATCTCGCCCAGCGTTCCCCCCTCTCGTCTCTTAGTCTCTCGTCCTCGAATCTTTTCTATGCAGGATGCAAAGAGGAATGTGGCTCGCGAGTTAAAGAGGGGCTCCGGGAACCATCCTTCTGGCGCAGGCCCGCTCGCACGCGCCACTGGCAACGCAGTGCCAGCGGTGCCGCACCCCTTGGTTTCATCGGAGAGGTACTGTTTGGTGATGCAGGGCCCCGTGCGAGAGGGCCGCACGCTAGCTTGTGGCGGGGGCGGGGGGAGAGGGAGGGAGTGGAGGGAAGGCCGCGTGATCCGCCCCTGCGCAGGCCCTGGCAGTGGTTTCGACACGTTGTCGCAGGGCCGTCGGGCCCTTGCTGCGTACTGCTCACGCAGGAACATTTTTAGTCTCACAGCTGATGTTGGACGACCACCCCCGTCATGCGGATCGCCTCGCCGCCTCGCCTCCTCCCCCCCCCGTCCCCCTGCTTTTCCCCCTCCTCCCCCGCCCCCCTTTGGCTCCCGAGGTTCCTTGTCGGTTCGCCTTTTTTTTCTGGTGCGACCCCGCTTTTTCCAGAGAGGGGCCTTGTACTCATAGGCGGCCCCGTTCCAGACGCCGGATCGACCCTCCTCTGTGGCGCGCTGGTTTTCCCCCTGGCTTGCCCTCCCCCCCATCCCTTCGGGCGCTGCGCACTTAGGGGGGGGGGGGGCTGACTTCTCGTGCTCCTTCGAGGCCCCAAATGGGGCCCCCGGGCCTGCCTGGGGCTCCGCAGTTGCACGCGAAGCGAATGTTTTGGGTGGCGTGTCGTCCCGTCGTTTCTGGCCCACCACGCCTCGGAGCAACACGGTGTCCGCGTCACCACTGCCAACCGACAACGTCCCGA